TGATATTACGTGATAAGAGCGACACGGTATGGAATATCAACATGAACGTGCCGGCGCGATCGATGAAAGGTATATTAATCATACCCATGGAGGAATACGATCCATTCGAAAGAGACAGCGAGAAATTTTTCAACCCAGGGATCACCAAAGTGGAAGTGACTATAGAGGGAGTACCTAATCAGCTATTTAGCCATGGAACGAAGGCATATCAGCAGTGGGATGAAATAATGAAGCTGCCGGCTATCAAACGAAACTCAATAGTCAACAACCTAGTCAATGACCTGGATCTATCCTCCGTGCATATCGGGGATTACCTAACCACAAAGTACGCATTGTGGTTGGATATGAGATCGACAGATGACGACACTCTACACGGTAGTGGTCGTCGCATCGACAACGGAAGCGAGGGTATAACCATTCAAATAATGAAGAAGGTTCAACCAACTGGTAAATTGAAATTATATTTATATGTAATTATGGACGCGCAATCTTGATGACTGCAGCGCTAATAGAGATCACAACAAATTTAAAGGAAGCCGAACGAAAGAGAGAGGTAACGAAAAGAGAGATATGCTGTCCTACCTAGCGTTTTCAGGTCGGCACGCAGAACATAGCGTCTGGGTGTTGACACAAAAATTCAACTCTGTGTTAAAGTATTTACGTGAACAGACGCTATGGGTAGCTCTATTTCACTGCAAGGACAGGGATTCGTTCGAGGAATGCTTGAGAGAGAACGATGTGATGAGTAAACTAGACCGGGAACGGGTTAAGAAACAGCTCGCCCAAACTAAACATGCTAAGCTCGTGTTGAAAACCGACCAACCAGTGAATTACCAAGTAATAGTTTAGTAATTTTTAGTAAATTTTAGTAATGTTTCAGTAATGTTTAGTAAATTTTAGTAATGTTTTAGTAATTTTTAGTAAATTTTAGTAATGTTTTAGTCATTTTTAGTAAATTTTAGTAATGTTTTAGTAATTTTAGTAAGTTTTAGTATAAATGTCGGTTTTTGAAGTAATAGTCGTGTGTAACCTAATCTTTATCTCTCTGTATTTTGTGTGGGTTGGTTATTATTTTATTTAATTAAAACTAGATTACTATATTATATAATGGATTGTGATGAATTACTAGAACAGATATTAGTTTCAGATGAACAAAAGGACGACAAGCAGCGAGACAGACTGGTAACACTAGTTGTGGGTGGTAAGGCAAAACAATATTTAGGAGATAATATAACTACTGATAAAATTCAGAAAATGTCAGATGAGGAAATAAATAAATTATACGCCAGGTATGAGTCAAAACTCGGGGCTGAGATGACAAAAGTTATAGGTTCTACTATTACCCAGATTTACACAGGTATAGCGTCATAATTTTTACCCATACCACCGGAACGTAGACTCTATTTGTGGGAGGACCTAGAGAAAGACCCGTTTATTGAACACGCCTTGAACTCTATCAGCTGCGTGTTGTACCACAAATACGGGATGATTTTAGCCCCGGTGACGGCGGCGATTATCACAGCAAAGCATTGTCAATTTAAAGAGGAAAAAAATAATAATAATATACAAGATGGATACTACCCAGGAAGAAATAACCAAGATTCCAGAGGAGGAAACACCGAAGACGGAGCCAGTGACGCGTGCCACAAAGAAGAAGAACAAAAAAAGAGTTGAAGCTGGATGAAAAAACGCCTTAGCCAGGCACCATAAAAATAATTACACATTGTGGTTTACCGTAGGTGGTGTAGTAGTCACTGCTGTTGTTTCATTATTTATGTTATTTAAACCAAAACAAACACAACCACAGCCATCACCAACACCTCCAGAGGAGATCAACCCTCATATTATGTTAAAATTAAAATTATATTTCTATTAATATATATTATGTCTGAGGGAAAAACATTCGTTAATGATGCATACCACGCCTTAGTGGTTTCCGGATTAGCAGTAGGATACGCTCGGTTGACTAAAATGATTATAAAACAACCGACTATAAAACTCGACTTCGACCTGCAGGATATTGCTATGCTTACTATGAATATTGGTATGGCGATGGCCACCAAGGACGTTCTGATAAAACAAGGTATTATACCGGAAAATATTTTAAAGTAATATATATAATATGGCCACGATAGCAATGATGGTTGGTGGAGCTCTTGTGAATGCCCTAGCATTTTCCGGGAGTAATTATCTATTTTCTAAATTACGAGTGAGTGAGTGAGTTAATATTTAACGTCACATCGGCAATATTTCAGCCATATCGTGACGAGAACATTTTACATTGTAATGGAACATGTATATATTATAAAACCTGTCATCGAAGGACAGTAAAGCAACTAGAGTATCACAGATATGTATGTAAAACTAGTAATTGAATCTAAAACATTTTAACCATAGGGGACAACACAATATAAAAATGGGCTATAGATCGCTAACAACTTAAGGTAGATCACCATACTAGGGACCATGGGGACTTACAGTACATTTGCTTCCTGCATGGGCCCTAGCTGGATTTATATCATCCCCTCAGCCGTTAGCAATTGAGATATATCTAGCCATACATTAAAATTACACATATTCTATGATTAAAAAACGGAAAGTTGAAATTTACTTTGAATGTTTTGGGACTTATGTACCCTCTCAGGAGGACAATAATTTTACAGTACTTTAACCCCCCTCGAGGATACAGCCACTAACAATCTGTGTTACTAATTCAAACTTCCAATCATAAAATATTTAGCTATTTACAAATCTGTTAACAAATTTAATTCTTTTAAAAAAGCAATAATTAAATGAGGACTTATATTAGTAAAAAGATCCTTCATAGTTCGGGATTTGAAATAGATATCCCTTGTGATGGAGTACTCAACACAGTCAAGCAAGACATGCTTGACTGTGATTCGTACATCACAAGGGATACAAAACGGAGGATCCTCACCTTTTAATAGGTATTCATGCGTATATCTTTTGTGGCCAATACGACATCGTCGTATGATGACCTCTTCAAATCTGGACTGACAACCCAAGTAAGTCTAACCGATAATAGGGTTTTATTGCATGTAATTTATTTATACCTACTTGGGTGTCCCACTTCTTTTGCATCAGATCACGGATATAGGATCTTATAGCAGCTTTGTAATCAGAGTATGGGATCAGAAGTGGTGCCTTAGCAGCAATATCAGCCATTGTGTTCCCAGAAATGCCAACGTGGCTGGGTAACCAACAAAAGACGATGTCGCATTGGCCAGTAGCAAGTTCATTGTACAATTCAATAATTTCTAATAAAAGTGGATGTTTGCAAGAAAGATTTTTAATAGCCTGAAGACACGAAAGAGAATCTGAAAAGATTATATATTGTTTATATTTACGGTGTTTATTAATATATTTAAGAGCTGTTAGTATTGCGTTTGCTTCTGCTGTGAAAATTGAACTGTCATTGGGTAATCTGGAAGATATTGTTTTGGACCCAATGACAGTGGCACAAGCAACCGCGCCACCATCCTTGGACCCATCTGTAAATAAGGATTTATATGTATTATATTTACTTTATAATTGATTATATTCTTGTTTATAAAGTAAGTCATTAGTTTCTGATTTTTTAAAATTAGTGAGTGTTAGGTCGACTTGTGGCCTAACCAATTGCCAAGGAGGAGAAGAAAGAAGACGGGAAGGAGCTATATTTTCCAGCTCAATGCCGGCAGCAGCAATAAATGGCTTAATTCTGAGCCCAAGAGGCGGAACAAGAGAAGGGTTTTTGAAATGCAAGATTAAACTCATTAGAATATAATTTTGTAATATATTGTAAAGATAATTTTATACGGCGTTGGTTAAGAGAAGGTTCATCTGCCTCGACGTAAAGACTGTCAACAGGAGAAGTTCGAAAGGACCCAAGACAAAGTCTCAGACCTTGATGGTGGACTGAATCTAAGAGTTTGAAGTTGCTTTTACAGGCTCCACCATATACGATGCAGCCATAATCAAGCTTCGAGCGGACAAGTGATCTGTAAAGGTATAGGAGCGTAGCATGATCCCCTCCCCACCTTGAGTTAGACACGACTTTCAATAAATCGAGTGCCTTCAGGCATTTAGTTTTTAGAGATTTGATATGCGGAAGAAAAGTTAAATGGGAGTCGAAAATGAGACCCAAGAACTTGGCCTCTTTTACAGCCTTGATGGGAGTGCCTTTTAAAAACAGTTCTGGGTCTTTATGTGGTTTATATTTACGGCAGAAATGAATGCAATTAGTTTTGGATTTAGAAAATTTAAAGCCGTTTTCAAGACACCATTTATGTGTTTTATTTAAACACAACTGTAGTTGCCGTTCTATAATATGCATATTCTTACCGCGACAAGAAATGTTAAAATCATCCACAAAAAGTGATCCATCAATTGAATCGTTTAAAACCTTGGATAAGCTGTTGATTTTAATGCTAAATAAAGTGACAGACAAAATACTTCCTTGGGGGACACCCTGATCCTGATTATAATGGTCAGACAGGGTTGAACCCACTCGGACTTGAAATTGCCTGTCTGATAAAAACTGTGATATAAAAAGAGGTAAACGACCCCTTAAACCAAACTCATGTAAATCCTTTAAAATGCCATGCTTCCAGGTGGTATCGTATGCTTTCTCGAGATCAAAGAATATCGATACTGCATGTTGTTTATTTATTATTGCATTTTTAACAAAGGATTCTAAACGTACCAAATGATCAATGGTACTACGATTTTTCCTGAAACCACATTGAATATTTGTTATGAGATTATTGGTTTCAAGATACCATGTTAATCGATTATTTACTATTCGTTCCATGGTTTTACAGACGCAACTCGTTAAAGAGATTGGTCTGTAATTAGACGGATCAGTATGATCCCGGCCAGGCTTTGGTAAAGGGACTACAATGGCTTTGCGCCACGAAGGTGGGAAATTCCCTGAAGTCCATATTGTGTCAAAAATATTTCGAAGAGTTTCCAAACATGATTCCGGTAAGTGCTTCAAGAGCTGATTGTGTATATTATCAGCTCCTGTTGCTATGCCATGAGCTTGCCCAAGGGCAGTGTGAAGCTCATGTAATGAAAATAATTCATTATAGTCTTCGCCATTGTCCGAGTTAAAATTTATTCTCTTCTTCTCCTGTTGTTTCTGATATTGTTGAAATTTGACGAAGAAGAGTGTTTGGCGAGTGTTTCACCAAGCTTATTGGCAATGTCAGACTTACCAGTTAATATATTGTCACCATCCTTCAGAAGGTGAACAGTAGATTTGGAACCTTTGCCCTTAATTCTTTGGATCATGTTCCACACCTTTGAAATCGTGTGCGTGAATCTATTTTAGAAACATATTTCCTCCAAGACTGACGCTTGTTCTGTTTAAATGTACGTCGAGCCTTGGCATTTAAAATTTGTACTTTATTCAAATTATGGACAGTAGGATGTCGGCGAAAATATTTTTCAGCTTTCTTCCTGCTCTTTCTGGCCTGTTTACATTCATTATCAAACCATGGCTTACGAATATGTGGAACTGCAGAGGACTTAGGTATAGTTTGGTCAGCAATGTCATTGAGTAAATCGGAAAACAACTGTATCGGATCTCGCTTTTCGCAAATACATCATGTTTTAAGTGATCAGCACATAATGTCTCATATAATGACCAATCAGCCCTGGCAAAGTTCCTTCTGGATAAAGGTGGATCATCACCAGGGTCGATTGTCTTGAGAATGCCAGGGAAGTGATCACTCCCACATAGATCATCATGTACCATCCATTCGAATTCATTATACAAGATGGAGTCAGCAAGTGATAGATCCAGGGAAGAATATGTTCCCGTAGCTGGATGTAAATAAGTGGCTGAGTCATCATAAAAATACATAAATTATTATCAGAAATAAAATCTTCAATTACCTTACCTTTATTGCTTGTACTTGTACTGCCCCACAGAGGGTTGTGCGAATAGCTACAGCTTGAAGATTAGTTTTCAGGTGAACGTCACTATGAATGACATTATTTCTTACTAGTATAGTAGCACCTCCAGTTGCCTTGTCTCCTGGAGGAGAAAATGAGTGATGACACTTGTACTGCCTCACATCAAATGTATCAGTATGTTTGAGATACGTTTCTTGTAGACAGAATGCTGACGGTTGAAGATCTTGAATTAGTAACTGTATTTCATTGAAGTTATTCTTCAATCCTCTGCAATTCCACTGAATTATAGCAGACAATTGACTCATGATGGTGGTTCAGTTGGAGATCTCTCTCGTGAATGGGAGGAGGAGCTATTCCTCCGCTTGTCCTGTGAGGACAGTGTGACCTCCATGTCGAGAGGTCCAAAGGGGTTCTCCAGAGGGAGTTCTAAAGGTAAAGGGACAGAAGGTGTCTCTTTTCTGTGTTGTTTTTTTCCTTTTCCTTTTCCTTTTGCTGAGTGAGGCTGTTTGTTTACTGAGTTTGATTGTATCTCAGGCTGACTCACAGTCTGAGAAGCAGAAGTAGACTGTGTGGCTGGGGACATAGGATCAGTGAGTGAGGACTTTCGTGGAACAGCTGAAACAGGTTTTTCTGACCTGACCCAAGTCAAGTCAGTCTGACAAGCAATAGATGACGTTGTAAGAGAACGAGTGGCTGCAGCAGAATAGGTAATATTCATGGGAGTTGAGATCTGATTTTGGAACATTTTTTTGGCATCAAAGTATGAAATGTCTTTTTCACATTTGAGCTTCATGATTTTAGATTCTCCTTGCCATACTGGACAGGACTTAGACGAAGCTGGGTGTTGTCCGCCACAATTTGCACATTTCAGATCATGTTCACAATCAATACCCTCATGGTGGTCTGCACAACGGTGACACACCACAGAGTTACGGCAAAATTGTGAGCCATGACCAAACTTCTGACATTTGTAACATTGGAGTGGATTGGGGACGTACACATCGACTCCGATATTGAAATAGCCTGCTTTAATTGATTGTGGAATAGTTGAACGAGCAAACGTTAACAGATAAGTATGTGTTTTAGTGATGATGCCATCTCTCTTCACAGTAAAACGTTTTACTGCTGTAACACCCTGGTCTTTTAATTCTGCAGCAATGTCCTCCTCAGACATGTCTGTCAAACAACGAGCTCTGTCTCGAATGATGCAGCGACAGGAATTTAGTGTTCTGTGCACAAAAACAGCAACCTCTATATTTGCAAATGTTTTTATTGACAAAAGATTTAGAGACTGCTGCTTCCGTGCACATTCGATAAGAAGCGAGCCACTACGAAGACGGGTAACATTTGATACTTCCCCACAAATAGCAGCAACGGCCTTAGAAATGGCAAAAGGATTGAGTTTTATAGGCAGAAAATCAGTAGCCTCAATGACCAGGAAACGGGCCCAGGAATCAGCATTAGATGAAACATTTCTTGAAGTGTCATCAACATTGTCGAAACGTCTTTTCTTTTCGTTTCTAGATGAACCAGATGGTGTGGGATCCATGATAAAAAGTAATTGCTTCAGCACCCCTGTTCCCCATCCACCACGGAATGTCAACACGGACAGTGTCATGTAGCACCGGATCTCCGAGATGCAGACACCAGGGATACAGGGGTGTTATACTCCAGAAATAAAGACATGAAAAGCTATGAGGAACTAAAAGAATAAATGCCAGGCTGGTTCGGCCCATAACATCATTCCCAAGAAGCACAGAGGTCCATTATCACCAGATTGGCCCATGAGCCACTGGCATAGGACTCTAGGCAATTCATACAGAATAATTTCCATGACTGACAGTCCTAAATAATCAAATATTATCAAAATATTGCAACAGAAATATTTTCCATGCGCAGGGCACGGCGTGACCAGCCGATTGATTGAACCGGGCCAGTTCAACCACCCGTCTAGGTGAAGTAAGGGGCGAAGTGGTGTGTTGGGCAAAGGAACACTGTTCCTGGAACCAGTGCCCTCAACCACCAGCCTCCCGTCCTCCACCGACACAGGGGCGCAACCCACGGCCAACGAGGGTTGGTGGACCAAATATCCCCCCGGGTCCACAACGGGGGGTCGAAGAGCGCTTGGCGTTACCCAGCACCCAGCACGAGGAGGTGGCTCTTCATGGGTGTCTCTAAATTATGAGAGTCAAACGCGGCTGAGGTAGAAGCGGAGAGAAAACGACACGATATAGCTGTAGAAAAACTGCAGACCGCACAGGCTGAATACGCTAAGAGACGCATGAAGACATTAGATTTTATCAATAATCAACTACAACGGGAAAATCATTCTGTTAGAACTTTCAAGGACGTCGACGAAGCTATGAATACTACGTGCTAACAGGTAAACAACTAGAACCATTAGGCAATGCACCAAGGATTTCTCAGTATTACACTCCTTCCCATGGGCAAAAAGATCGTGAGTTGGTATTCGTGGCACTGGGTTTAGCATCGATAGTGTTAATTGTGAAACAATTAGATTAATCACACAAATTATTATATCAAAAAATGAGATACGCACCATATCTTTGTCAATGGGTTCTTATGGGGAAAACTGAAATTTGTGGTAATAAAAGCCACATTGAGGGTTATTGTTGTTTTCACCGTAAAGGAGTTAAAGGTCATTACCGATTATGTAAAGCCCACAGCGCGGATAAATTACGATTTAAACTTATTTATGATAAGAAAAAAGACTACATCTTCGAAGTTAAACGTTTGTTAAAGATAATGGTATAAGTATATATTTTTTTATCCCTGTGGTATGATTTGTAATTCCTCACGTACGAATCCTCTACGTGGTCCATCTTTCAAGAAGTATAAGTTAGGTTCCCCGTCTTTGATATCCACTCGACTGATATTGTACGTTTTCATAGACCATATAGGATCTGTAGCACATTTTCGGGTGTCTCCCTCGTATTCACCTGGTTGATATAAATATCTAACAAGCGCGCAATCTGGAATTTTTTTTTCCTTTTACGACGGGGTGCTGCTGCCTCTGATACAACGGATTTCATACGGATTGATTCGACTGGTCTCTTATCAAGAAGTCTTGTTATTTCATGATTCATGAAGTCAACCACCCGTGGAAGTCGTTCTACCCATTCAGTGTTTCTGTTATTAGGATCCGCTAAATCACGTGAATATTGGTGTGAAAACAAACGTTCAGCTGTGGAGCGATTGAATCTCTCTACTATAGCTTGACTTCGATGGGCACCCACCTCACCGCGTCTAACTTCTACGTTATGCTTGGTTAGCAGTTTTGACACTGATCCCATGAATTCCCGGTCTGGATCGACTTGCAATAAATCAGGCCATGTAATCCGACTACGCTTGTATATTCTCTTAAACGCTTGTGCTACTTGATCCGAGTCTTTCGTGGTTAATGGTTCAGCTTCCTTGTAGCGGCTGGCTACGTCTACAACTGTCAGGGCGTACTTATAGGTTTTACCTCTAACCCTGTCGTGTGGAAGAAACAACAGGTCGGCCTGGTGAACTTGATTAGGTGTATGTATACCGAATTTTCTCCTCGGTATATATTTTGGTGCTGGTAAGTATATTTGCTATATAGCTTGTTTTTGTAACCAGGCTTTGGCTTTTTCTTCCGAAAAACGTGCGGCTTTAGATAATTTTGTAATAGCGTCTACCCCTTTCCAATATCCTCGCGGGCTGTAGTAAATTTTCTCCATTATATATATAAATTTAATTTTTTTTATGACCGTAAGCAAAGGTTTTGACACCATCTGAAGCTATCCATCGTTTTGTATCCATTGGTGATAGAGATGTTTTATTTATAGTCATCCTGTATATCTTGTGCCAGTCACTACGAAGTATGTTCATCTGGTGTTTGAACGTTTTCTTCTCGAACAGGGTCTGTTTGTAGAGAGTATGTTTAATATGTCGTTTCACCATGTTCTTTTTCACACCTTTAGCCTTTCTTATTTCAGCGTCATCTGCTTTTTTAATGAATACATCTTAGGTCTCAATCCAATGTATTCGGTGATTGGTGTGCCAGCACATTCATCCTTCATCTTACCTAACACCTTTTTGTT